AGAGAGAGAGAGAGAGAGAGAGAGACAAAAGACTCATATCTAATTCTAAATAAAATACATGTATTCAACCAACAAGACACTTTTCAAACACAGATCACACAACAGAATCATTTCCCTTGACGTTGGGCAGACGAGGATACTGTATTTAACTAACAAAGGACAGCATTAGAACCCTGTTATGTTGCAACCCCCCTATACCACCAACTTTATGCTCCTCCTAAGGTTAGCCATTATAGTTTGACTGTAAAATGTAACAATGTTTTGTATTTTTTTCGGTAAGTGTTATACTGCGCTTGCAACTGCATTAAGTCATATGAGCGCCCGGGACACATTAAACATTTTTCAGTTGGTAGGATGTTTTGAATTTTGCCTGGATTGCGGCCGAAGCCTACTCTTATCAATTCTAGTACCACCAAGGGATCTTTAACATGCGCAACTTGCACATGGGACCTCTCCAAGATTTTTTGCCGTTATCCGAAACGGTTAGGGTGTTAGATCTTTCCTACAATAAGATCAGGGGGGTGGACGAAAGACAGCAGTGAGAAGGAGCCGAGGAGTAGCAGTAGAAAGGCTGCAGATAGCGTCAGGAGCCCAGAGGAGGATGTGACACATACTGCGAAAATACTTGATCACAAAGGGCTTTCTTAAATGTTCCCTAAAATTTGATAAAGGAGAAACAAAAACAACAGAACTCCCAAACCATGGTTCTTATCATGTGACCTCCTGCCCACACTTACATATAACAAAGTCAACCGATGAACAAAAACTTGTTAGAAAACCCTTACAACTATGACTGAGAATATACTCAAAACTCTGCAAACTAGAGTGTCATCCAGTGCACCCATCAATCCAGCTCTGGTAGGCTTATATTGGTCCCAAACATTAACAACAAAAAAATAACAAAGCATTAATGTAAAATAATATGAAACCATAAAGTTCATATCTTTTATTATCACCAGCAAGTACAAATGGCAAGCAAACAGAATACTTCCAAAGGAACCTTTATCAACTATTTGAACTGCTTGTACAACAAAAAATGGATGTTATTATATTATGTGTAGCAACGCGACAAAATGAGCTGCTTGCCACACTCAGCTGTTTCCAAATATCACGCAAAAACTTAAATTCAAGTAACTATAACTTCAGAACCAAGGCAACTAGATTATCTCACTGACTACGGATCCCGTCACGGGTACGGGCGGACGGTCGGTTCGTAGGTACGGATCCCGCACCCCCGACAGGATGGACTTTGCGGTTTTGTCTCGTATTTTGTGCTCCCGTCACATGAACGGGAACGGACTCCAGTGCTAGTTTTGCCTCTTGTTTCATTTCGTGCCGAGTTTGGCGGAAGTTTCGCGGCAACTTTTTAAGCAATTGAAGGTGAAGGACAGTCACCTCATCTGGGGTTGACCTGACCGAAACTCGCACTATGTTTTTTTTCTATACAAACGATAGTAATCCAACAGTCGCGTCGAAGTAACGGTCGCATGAACAAGAATCACATAATTTCGCTGTTTTCGATACTTCTGTACGTTTTGCTAGTTCTAGTGACTCAGGATATGATGTGTCTGATAGATAGGACCCTGGATATGTACCCGAACACGGCCCGAGTCGTAGTTTTAGGGCTAGATCAAGCACTAGTACTGTTGTTGTTGTTCGCGCGACGAAATCACAACTTCGTTCCCTACATCTGTCTCATGTGATTCAGTGTATGGGTCTGAATAAACGCACAGACCAGCTTTTATCTTTTCATCAAACACTCACACATGGATACAAATCAAAAAGGACACTTTGAACTTTTATTTTTGTTGTTGTTGTGAATTCCATTCTATCTGTCATGTCTCTGGAAATTTTTTGAAAAATCAAATTCATTCCAATTTTGAAGCAATCATAAGAATTAAATCATTAGACCTAGAGAACTTTAAATTTTTGCAATAGATTAAGTTTGAAAGTAACTTTACTGTGTCAAAAAAATAATTACAATAGGGTAATTCTGAGAGTTGTGGTGGTGTTTTGAAATACCCCCAAAATGCCAGTACTCAGCGTTAGTGATTTGTAAAACGGGCCAGTAGTCAGTGAGTTAAGTTTTCACCCACTTGCAGGGTTTTAACATACTTTTAATTTGATAGCTATTGGTGTTATGTCATCAAAATATGACATGTCACTCATTTTGTTGCATTGTTGTTACACATATCGTCGCCTCAGAACTATTTTGTCCAAAGTGCCCTCAAGTAAAGAGGCACTTTGGACAAAGTAGTTCTGAGGCGACGATATATACAACTTTTTCACAGAACAAAACTAAACTGTTTAGACGTGTTTCTATCTCTCAACAATGATGTTACGGTAACAGTTTTAATCAGGGCCCCATGCCTTTACCAATAATCAAAGTGACAGTAGATGTAGTTGGCTGCTGGTGATTTTAGTGAAATGCTCGTCACAGACTTCTCTTTGCACAACAGTAAGTTGAGTAAGAAAATCTTTATTTCACTACCTGGTAATTAATCTTCCACTTCCACTTCTTCACTAGATAAAAGAGCCTTTGGCAACCCACAATCATGCTTTTCTTTCACACCTGAAGAGCTCATAACAAAACTTAAACTCCTCAATCTCCCTCATAACTACTTCTTCAACATCTACAGCACTTTCTCTCCTAATACATTTTGAAGCTACAAACTTTCACATCTATTCTTGGAGAAACACAATCAGGCAGCGCATTTCTTATATTAAATAATCTTTTAAACTCATTCCTCCGATACAGCAAAAAAAAACCAACACCGTACAATTGAAAGCCATCCATGCAAAGAGACTCATGCTCCGGCTTGAGCAGCCTCTTCCTCATCAGAGTCAACCTCCTCGTTCTTGTAGCCAGGGACGTACTCCTCCACCCTCAGCAGGAACTCCTCGGGGGACGGAGGGGCCACAACTTTGATGGACTGAATAAACGGGCCTGAGAAAGAAACAAGTGCCACACCATGAAAACTTGTTATTTGGATTTCAAATAAAAACATAATACAGGAAAGCTTGAAAATATTTATTTAAATGAAGATCAAAATGGAAAACCAACACATGAGAAAAGTAGACTTTATCCCTTTTGTCACAGGTCATCATATGTACTGTAATTCAGTGCTAAGACAGTAGCGAACAAATAAATGATTCCAGAAACAGATCAAAACAAACCCTACAAAACATCAAAACAAAAAAAAGAAAATGATTGTGTACGAAAATAATGAAAAAGAAACCTAAATAGTGCAACAAAATCTACAAAGAGCCACATTAGCTTAGCATAAGGACAAGAGACAAACATGTCTGAACAAAGAGGTCTCAAAAGTAGAAATGTCATGGAGAAACCTTGCGAAGGAGCAAAACTTGAACCCTTTAAATTTGATTTTTGCTCCTGAGAATGTGATTTTTTTCCCTTCTCATTATTTCCATAACCTACCCATATGTCTCTGAAGGAAATATTAAACACTTGTGAAATAACTGTACGTCTATAGAATCGGTGATGAAACTCACCTAGAGCTATGCTCCGATGTTGACAAACTGAATCAATGTATGTGGTGAAGTTCTCCACAAGCTCTTCTATAGGTTGCTTCACCTGAAGAGAAAAAAAAAAGATTTCATATATATATAGCATAACACAATGAACAAATCACTGAAAAAACCCCCAAAAAACAAAAACCCCCCAAAACCCAGACAGCTTTAACAATATCAACATTATGTACCACGACGAACCAGTCTCCCCCAAAACAACCAGGAAGTAGATAAATAAACAAATATGGACATTTTCATCAGTAACAACCACAAGACAAATGTCAGGATGCAGGAGTCTAAAACAAAGTTGACATCCATAAATCCAAATTGTGTCGCTGGGGGCGTGAAAATACCTTCATGAATAGTAATAAACCACTTCAAGAACAGGTTGAAAACCCGTTTTAAAAAATATTTTTAAACCCAAGTAAGTCATTATTCACTGCCCATTCATGCACACATAAACTAAGAATCAAACCAGCATTAGAGCATGATAGACAAACACTATGATGGTAATTAATCTGAGAAGTCCTTTGTTTCATCACTGCAAATTTATACGTTCTGATTAATAACAAGTCACAACATGGGCAACCTGTTATATAAATGCACCATTCGCAATATTTCTTAAACCAAAAATTTTGTCAAGTTTGTTTTATCCCCAAAATATCATTCTCCTGTGGATAAAAAGCCAGTTTTTAAATCCAGGATAGACAATTGGTGAAGAGCAGTTTTATTTTCATTTTCTACTCAATCTTGTATTCTCAACACACATGAACATGATTGCAGAAGTTTCTATGCACCTTCAGATAATAAAATAATCATCCATAACATTTTGCTATAGTACCATTTATTTGCCAACAAATTCCCTATAGACATACATGAATTCCTCAGTTTCGCTAATTGTGCAACTCACACCAGGCAACCGTCACCTCTTAAGTCACAAATATCCCGACTTCTATCCAAAACAGATGAGGGTTTTTTTTTTCCATCAAAAGCAAGAAAGAATGAACAAACTTTAAGGTTGTGCCAATAACTCCATATGCCCCAAAACCGAGGAGCACCTGATTCCACTGCATCATAAAAACATGCTGTTGTATTTGGTATCCCCAGCACAACTGACTGTAATATTTAAGTCTTGCAACAAAACCAAGGTGGCAGAAAGGCATAATCATATGTCTAGTTAAAAAAGAGTAATGAAAAGCTACATCGAGCCAATCCTATTATACGGGTGCGAAGCATGGACAATCAATAAACAGCTGGAAAAAACAATTGTTGCGGCAGAGTTGTGGTTCATGAGACGCATGCTACGTATCCCATGGACAGCTAGAAAAACTAATGAAGAAGTCCTGGTTGAAGCAAATTATAGAAAACAACTTATCACGAATATAAGAAAACGACAGGCAAATTTTTTCGGACACACAATGCGGAAAGAAGCATTAGAGAACATTGTAACAACAGGAAAGTTTGATGGAAAGAGAGACAGAGGCAGACAGAGGGAAAAGATACTGGACAAGATGACAACATGGCTGGGAGCGCAAGAACAACAGACACCATTGCTGCTTCGAAAGACAGATGAAAGTGGAGGTCCATGATCGCCCACGCCAGTCGGCAAGGCACCGGATGATGATGAGTTATATACCTCTGGTACTATTATACACGAGTAAAGATAGTATGGTAAAACATTCTGATAGCAGCATCTACCAATTTGTTGACAATACAACCTAATCAACTTGCTCTTGCGGCCACTTGCCCAATACAATCACCTGAACAAATGACCTCTTCCCACTCCCAAGCTTGCGATTTTATACATTACGATGACACGGTCCAAGACTTCTGCCTGTCTAGCACGACGACTTTCTCCTTGACAGTAGATGTCTATCTTCGACATTTTCAAGTGTTATCAGAAAAATTTGTTTGTTCCGACAGGTCAAAAATTTGCTTTAAAAAAAAAACAAGAATTTTATTTTAACCTACCTTGAGAAAAATGCACGAATCTATTAAAGAAACTAGATAAACCTTTCATTCTAATACTCGCTTCCCTTATTTACTTTCAAAATGTTTGCTTTACTGGTTGTTAAAGTCTAAAATGCAGTGTCCTGTATTCTGTCACAAAAAGGGTGAGCCAGCTGCACCAAACAGTCTTGTTTCAGTAGAGGTTTTACGGCGCTTGCAACTGCATAAAGTCATATGAGCGCCAAGGGAGGGATGTCAACAAAGAAGTATTTAAAGGGAATCAGACTTACTCTGCTCACCTCTCTAGCTTCAGCAGCACAAAGTCTGCTTCGACTATCAAGGCACCCCGGAAATAGCTGGTCACAAGAGTGTGACAAACATACAAAAGAAGTAGAGGAAAATGAAGATAGTAAGGATTAGGAAAGAAAAAGCAGCTGTTCCCTGTTGTAGTCCAGGCACAGTTATGAGCATGACATTGTTAGATAAGCCCATTTACAATTCTACTGTGCACTAGAACGAGAAAGGTCCCCCCTTTGGGAATGGCCTAAAGACTATTAAGTCAGAGGCAGTGCCCCGGGGGTACCAAACAGTCTAAACATTCTGGTGTCAAAGCATTGCCTGAATGTAAGTGAACCCTATATGAATGTACTAGTGAAAAAGAAGGACCAACACTCCCCCACCCACCAAAAAAAAAGGGGGAAAAAGGGGTGGGGCGGGAGACAACTCAAATGAAAGTTTTGAATAAAGAGAAGCTCATAAGCACAATAATGGCCATTTAGTGCCTGGTAAAAGCAAGTTAAACAGACAGAAACAACAGACGAAGAAAAAAAAAAAAAGGATCTACCAGCGGTACCCTCCTGCCCATACAAATGATATGGAGAAATAAGGCAAAAATCAAGGTGAATTAAAATGTGATAACAAATATATCAAAAAAGAACATCTCACCAATCCTAATGGCACCTGCAGAGACCCCTGGCCCTCAGTAATTTTGTGCGACTCGTATGTATAGCCGTTGTGGAACAAGTTCCACATCCCCTTCAGATCAAGACTTAAATTGCCTGTGAAATGAAAAAAAGAAGCAACGGTTCTTGTTTTGTGCTGGACATCATTAGTTAAGTTGCAGGAAAACTGACACATTTTTTACGTTAACCCAACTCTAGAACATCAATCGAAGCAGTTTTTACAATGTTTATCCAACTCATAAACAACTGTAGAAATAAATGAATTGGACATACTGTCACGGAAAAATATACAGTCTGAATATTTTCAGGTCCATAATTTTTTCTTAAACATGTATATTCTTGCATTTAAAACACGTTCAGGGTGAAATTGGTACAGAACAACAAGGTTCAAATGTCGGGCAAATTCCATTATGTCCATGTTACACCATATCAATGTTAAGAATAAGAGTGGGAACAGCCTCATTTTACCATATGTAAACAGAAGTGTGAGAACCAGCATACTTTGTACCATCAAAGTAGGCGATGCTATAAATTTCTTTTAAATGTGAAATTGGAATTGGTAGTATGTTAATGATCTCAGGCTCACAATGTGAAGCATATGTCAGAGACACAGTGTTTAGGTCAGTAATAATAATAATAATAGATAGCATTTGTATAGCGCATATCCTCGCTCAACAGCAGGCTCTATGCGCTTTACACTATATCAGTACACCTCAAGATGAGTCCTCGAGCAAGACAAAATAACCCATGATCAAAGCAGGGTGTAGCAAAGTGGCAACCAGGAATGATGCCTTTCTGTATTGGTGTGGTAATATGAGACCCCCCAAAAAAATTATATAAGACACCAATTTTAAATAACTATAACAGGGGATTACAATATTGACCTACCCGCAGTGATCAAGATACTGCATGATTGTGTGCTGACACCTTCAGCATAATTTAAGATTTAAGAAAGAAATGGAAAAAAAAGGAGACAATTTGTATAAATTTGTTAAATACAACCTTTTGCTCTCTGGGGGTATTTGTCCCTGAAGTGTGATCTTAAAGGCAGGATCTCATTTCCACAGTCGGCTGTACTTATCACATGCTGGAAGTCTTTGGGACTAATAACACCATTTGTAATCTGTAGACAAAGGACATGGGGGAAAAAACGATTATTTTATTGACCAGTACGTTTAAAACAATGACAGTAAAAGGAAACGCCCCCAATAAGCATAAACTTACTCTAGAACATGCTATTGTCTCAAATAGAATTCATCTTGATAGACTGATCATCAAAAGGAATAAAATTTGACCATACTGAGACACAATGATATATCTAAAATTCATAAAATAATCCTCCAATGATTCCCTCCTTAAAGAAACATCCTCCATCATTGTCTTGAGAAATGACTTATCATTCCAAAAAAAAGAAAGAAAAAACTCCAATAAAACATTAACAAAGGGAACAAATCTGCAAGTTGATTAATACTAAATAATATCTAAAGTGATTCTCAGAAAGTATCATTAAAAAGGCATTCTCTCGGTAGAATATATAGCATGTTAGAATAAAAATATATGAGCAGACCACAGAATCACATTATTGTTAAAGCAATTGCCTTGTCCAACCAGCCACATTTGTTTCTACAGTATGCATTCTAAAAAACTATGGGACCTGGATATGTTTTAAAGAACGCTGCTACTTAAAATACATGTTAGCATCTCAATCAAATGTGCTTGTCTGCGTTAACTTTGGAATATGAAAGTAAAATCAGTGCAGGAATCTCTCTCCACAACCCCTTCCATCTCCACTAAGGGTATACAGTTTCAAATACCAGTTTAGTGATCTCTGCTGGAGTGCCAAAAGTGTGAGCTCCTAGGCTGGAAGCAAGGTTAAGATGCTCCTCACTCTGTGGAACAAATGACAATACAAAAGTTAAAAGAATAATAGCTATACGAATTTAGACTTTAACTCTTTTCCAAAGAAATGGACTCACAGTAAATGACATGTTAGTTTAACGATCCATGGATTTGGAACACAGGGTAAAAAAGTCACTTTGCTGTCATTATTGCTTTTTAAAAAAATTTTAAGTGGTGAAATGATTGCAACATGCGAGATTCACTCAACCTTTTCATGCCTGCCTCAAGGTTTAATCAATTCTTAGAAGTTTGAAAGGCTTGTAACAAATATCATGGTCCATTAAGGTTCTTTCTTTTACAGTAAAAATTAATTTGCATACAATTCAAGCCAATACAATAACCCTTCATATCACTATTGTTCAATTCACAAATGAGGAAGAGAGGAAAGGAGGGAGGGAGGGAGTGAAGAAATCAGAGAGCGAAATAAGGAGAGAGAGAGAAAGAAAGAGAGGGAGAGAGAGAGAGAGAGAGAGAGAGAGAGAGAGAGAGAGAGAGAGAGAGAGACAGACAGAGAGAGAGAGTGAGAGAGAGAGAGAGAGAGAGCGGGGGGTGGGGACGGACGGACGGACAGACAGACAGACAGACAGACAGACAGACAGACAGACAGACAGACAGACAGACAGACAGACAGACAGACAGATATATATGTGAAAAACCTACCTTACAAAGAACCAATATTGCTGGAGGGGTTCCATAAGGAAACTCATGAGGCAACAGCACGGTGTGACGAATGTTCCCAATAAATTTTGTCTGAAATGAAATAAACACAAACAAAAATGAACAATGGACAACTGAAAGAAAGTGGTATTATTTATACATTCTTAACAATAACAAGTCACCACATGGGCAACCTGTTATATAAATGCACCATTGTGGCAGTTTTATAACAAACCTCAGCAATTTCATACACATTTTGAACCTATTAAACCTGATTTAATTTTTTCAAAGTTTTAAAAATCCTAGTAACCCATTGGCGTCCTAATTTTAGTGTTTTTCAAATTAAAAAAACATAATTTATGAACAAACAGACAAAAGTATTGCCAGTAAGCCTCCTGGTTTGTAAATACAATAATTAATATATTCACTACAGAAAATCGAATAGAAATGTGTTCAAGAGTGAGCAAACATATGTACAGTCAAACTCGGATACAACAGGACAGACGGGACCAGCAGTTTTTCCCTGTTATAAGCGAGTCCTGTTATAAATGTTATCAAGGGAAACTACCAGTACCATTGCACCTTCAGCTTACTATATATATTCGATTACCACAGATCCTTTTCCAAAGGGCTGTTTTGCTGACACTGAGATGGAATCGATCAGTGACTCCAACACTATTGTTTAGGCAAGCAATGATACAAACAGGCTAAATGTCTTCGTTGAGACAAATTTTAATAATTTGATGATCGAAAGCAAGTTCATGCGCTGCAAGATCACTGTTATATCCGAGTCTGCGCAAATTGAACCCCGTTATAGCCAGGTTCATATTACTTACACTTATAGAGAAAAAAAACAGGGATTTGATTTATCATTGTTATATCCAAGTTCCTGTAATAACAGTGGCTGTTATAAATGGACTGGACGGTATATTATGTGAAAGTGTATGAAGGCAGAAGAAAAGATTTTAAAAAATAGGACAAAAACTGTTTTTGAGGTAAGTGTGCACATGGTACTCTAATACTTCTACTTTTACTTTAAAAAGTTGTGAATGTTTATTATTTCAGCGCTCACCTGCAGAATAAGCAGTATTTGTAGTAATATACTAAAATGTACCATTCCATCATCATAGATAATGTATTAGGGTTTACAGGTCTAGATCCATATTCTGATATGATAATTCGCATGGCTAAATTAGTAAAGAGTAAAAGTCAACATATGATTTGCATTGACTAGGATAATCCCAAGTCACTTCATGTTCGGTGTACAGACATTATTTTCACTAGCAAGTTTATGTTAGTAATTACAAAGAGGTATCTTTTGAAGCACCATTATAAACATAGGGAATTATAAAGTACATTTGAAGAATCTGGACTCTGTAAGCCCTTGTAACCAACCTGTTTTTTTGTGGTAAAGTCTAGTTTCATGATGAGATGAAACAGCCCGTCTTCATTATTGAGCATGTCTGGCTCAGCAAAAGCCTTGTGCAGCTTCAAAGCATCTTCAACAGAATGCTTTTGCGGGGGGTAGTGCTTGTGCACCCAGACATTGTCAATAGGAGCTTCAGCAAGGAACACTTCACTTTCTGTCACCACATTTTTCGCTTGCCTGGCCCTTGGGAAATAACATATATTTTCATGGCAAGGAGACTATAAAATTTTTCTTCATCAACACTTTATATACCTTTTAATATTTTAAATCTAACTGGAAGAGGAAAATACGAAATGAGATGAATGAACCCTGTGACTAGTTTTTATTTGCAGTACAGTTTAATGTATTCTGTTCAGATACAGGTTAGACAGATTCTGGAAGTATGAAACATGTTCATCATACTAAGACCTTTTTTACAAGCGATTTCATTTGTTTTCACGAACACAGAGACGACAAAAAATTAGTATGCAGTATATAGATAAAATGAAAACAAATAAAAATAAAGTGTTACAACATCAATGGTTGCAAAAGAAATCAGAGGAGACTCACTTCAGCCTTTCCTTTTTGGAAACAAATACTCGAGATGAGTCAACTTGAACCTTTGCATCCCTCACTCTTGGTTTGCTGTTTTTGTGTCTTATTTGCATGTGAGTGCAAGAAGGCTTGGGACACACCACTGCTGATAATCGGGGCAGCACATCATTTCTGCGAACATGTTTCAGAAGTACCCTGAAATCTGCTGAAAAAAAATACAAGCAGAGAAATTAGGAACAATAGGGTGGTAAGGTATATTCCTACCTAGAGCTCATCGTCCACAGCACAGGTAAAAACATATAATCTGCTATCCATGCAAGTTTTTTTCCCGACGTATTTTGGGTCAATAAAAACTATATTTTAGGCGCTTTTTTGTGTTTATGCATGCTTTTCTTGTCATTAGGGGGAGGTTTCAGCCCTCCCCGATGAGCGATTATGATTATGTAATATGTAATAACTTTGTAGTGACAAAAAAGGTTTTAAATGTTTAATGACGCACTCATTTGAATATATATGCACATAAAATTAATTAACCAAATTGTAACCAAACAGCTCAGAAAGTGGGGAAACTAAAAGTAGTAAAAGGTTAATAAATAATAAGCTTGGTAACTTTTAAAAAAACTTATAATTGAAACTATAATAGTATAATATATGCAATTAACTCAAATTGATTATAATGCGTAGAACTAATCAATCACATAGTTATGTCTAGCAAAGATATGTTCCCACCCTACCCCACCCCCTTCCAAACCATGAAAATATGCCTCAGAACTACAATGTAACAATATTGCATTCATTCCTGTTTGATGTGTGTATATTCTGTAATAACAACATTGTTCTTCTGCTTTATCATTATTAATATTATGAGTAAGTAGGCCTACACACAATAGCCTATACATAAATCCATGGAAATACAGTCCGCGCCAGCTTTAAGCACACCGGCACGTTTCGGACTCAATCACGCTAAACGGCTCTTACCGAATTTTTGCTATACAAATTACACGCCTTTAAGCACGGTAACTTCGGCTTCAAGCACGCTTCATTTACTAGACAGTCAATATTTTCATGCTGACCCATCAAAGTTCAAACACAGTTTACACCGCAGCAGTGGAGTGTGTCAGTTACGACACTAGGCCTACACACTGGTCTGTGCGTACCACTGCCCGCTGTGCCACTCATACCACCGCCTTCATCCCACCTCGCGCGTGATACACAATCAGGATTAATGGATAGCGAGGGTCAAAGGTGAAATCGCAGCCAGCCTCCCTTTCGCGTCTCCCCGACTCTCTTTGTATTTTTTTTTGGTCGTGTGTAGCTTTGGCCTAGGCCTAGGCTAGACCCTATGTCTGCGCGCGCGGCTATGTGCATCTCTCTGCCTTCCTCTCCGCTGTGTGAGTGTGTGTGTTTGTCCATCACTTGCGTTTTTGTGTTTCTCTTGACACAGTTTACACCGTAGCAGTGGTTAATGAGCCCTGAAGCGACTTTGCCGCTGTCGGTCAGGAAGTTCGCATTTTTGACTATGTTTAAAACGATATAACTTCTTCCCCATCCCACATAGCAAACCATTACGCGGATGTACTAAAAGCTCAATGTCTTGAGATTTATTCTGCGTTAGAATGGTTAGTTTCTGTGCCTTAGTTTTTGCTCTAGACAAGTGTTTGTAGAGTACCCAATTTGTCCTATTTTAGTTACAAACTTTTATGAATAAATGATTGTTAATTTTAAAAAAGGCACGACAGATCTCTCCAAAATCTGTGTTAAACTGACTACGAATATCATGTCTTTTACCATGAGAAATCTTAAATCTGCGCTAGTAGTAATAGTCAAGTTTTATAAGAGAAGAAAGATGCACATCTGCATTTTTTAACTAAAAAAGATCAGCGTTAGCTCTTATTTTACTATTAAACAAGAGAAAGTTACTCTGCGTTTGTTCATGAATCATGCTGTGTCTGTGGCAGCCTGCATACAACTAAAAAGATATAATATAAGCGATTAAAAAAACCACAAAACCATGTAAATATATGGGTAGAGATAAACTTCTTGTATGGAATAAAAATAATGACAGCTGAAACATTCATTCTTAGTTTTTGTGTAGGAAATAAGCGCGGACACAATTATGAATGTAAAGAAGTAAGTCACATTGTCAGTTATTGCAAATGGTCATAGAAACGAAAAAAAAGCTGGAAAAGTCTGGTGCTGATCCAGTGTCCCTGGAAAGCTAGAAATTATTCTTATACCCAATTACGAGAAGTCATCCTTATTATTCAGTCAACTTACAAAACCTAGACTTAGCGTTTTAAGGAAAGTAAGGAATTTCTGGAGTGTAACAGATACTGTTCGTGTATTAGATCTACGTTGAAGATGTATTCTAGCACTAAAATCGATTTGTACTTTTCATAGAGAAACTTCTTGGTAACTTTTATAAACTTTCGAGAAAATATGCGAATATTCACGATTATATTAGAGTAAATTAGACACATAAAGCTGTATTTGGAGGAATTGCTTCATAGCGAATTGTGTGTTCAATGGATAAAATTGTAAAAATACAGCCTTCTATTATAAGCGCAGATACCATCTTTTTTGAGTATCTGCACCAAAGCTATGTCGTTCATGTTCCAAAAGTTCGACAGATTTTGACGATGCCTTTTTTTGATATTGATTTTTTTTCATTCACGCTAGTCCAAACATAATTACAATTTAGCATTGCCAACTCCAGCGCGTCTATCGAAATAACCAGACAAGTTACAACGTCCGTTCTTCTTTGACTCTCAAGAGCAGAAATGCGTGCTTTGGATGCACTAAATGAGAATTACCATAAATACAAGGATACACCTTAAATTGTACGTTGAAAAGTACCAAAAATTAGGTCGGCCCAGACAGAGCGGCGACAGGGAGCTGACCCCCGTGACCCCGACGTGATAAGGCACCTGGCGGGGAACCCCCCGTGGCAACTAAAATTCCACTGCCGGTGCGCCGTGAGGGGAGCTCGGAAACGAAGAATAGCGGGCCACTAGGAACTAGGGGCGCCATAGCGAAAGTAGTTCCGACCGGTGGTCCGGTAAAGTACAATCTTACCCCAGTATTTAATATCTCTCGCAATGGAGAATCTCGGACCGGTAGACCTATAATAGTTTGTCAGGGGGAAACCCTCCTGAACCCCCCCCCCCCCCCCCCCTCCTGAACCCCAACCACCCGTCCCACCCACCCCACATTCTAGTGCAATACTGTATATATATGGTCCGGTATTCTTCAATCTTCCCACTTATAATTATAAATTAATACTGTAGCCTGTAGCAACAAAAGGTGACGGACGCTATTTGGTCAAAATAAGGTTTTCCCCCACATCGATAATAGTCGCCTCCCGGGCTCGAGAGCTGGTCCGCCCGTAGGCGATTTTGTTGCCTGGAACGCTCAGTGACAGGGGTCCTAGGATGCCCGAAACAAAAAAAAACCAGGTGAAAATAGTAGGCTGTTGAGAGAATAGTATCAATTTTATAGAATAATGTGAGAATAACCACTCCGTCTGACTTTGGCTTGGCCAAAGCCAAAGGCCGTCATTATTCAGACTCGAGTCCGAATAACATTTTTTTCATTTTCGGACTCGAGTCCGAATAAAAAAATTTCAAATTCGGACTCGAGTCCGAATATGAAAAAATGTTATTCGGACACGGTGTGGAAAAAAGGAAGTGTCTTCGTTCTATAGATCTAACGTTCAGTGCTTCCAATTTTCCGCCATTTTTTAGTTTCCCCCACACTTTATCTGCCGATTCGATGCCCGCCGCCTCATTGATACGCCCCCCCCCACCCCCCAAGTTTCTCACTTTCTTTGTTATAGAAAAAGGTAAAATTGAAGATAAGCAGACCACCTGGCACCTGCATATTATGAGCTGTGTAAAAAAAAAAGATAGATTCGTTCAAATACACAAGCCTGTTTTACCAAGAAAAAGTTGTGTTGCTGTGTAGAGCCGAGCATACGGCAACTTTCGATTCCATAGACCAGCGCACAATTCATTACGTAATTCTACATCAAGACTAGCCTATTATTGTAATGATCAGTTGCCGGGGGGGAGACTGACGCGTATGCGACGTTCAACGCCCGTACCGATAGTGCCCCCCCTCCCCGACACTCACACACAGCCACACGTGTGCAGGCCGCCCATCCGACCCCGACACACGCTAACGAGCCATCTTTAATTGCTTCTGATGACCTCTTGACAAATAAATATTTATTAGAAGCGCTATAACTTTTCAGGCCGGCCTCAAATTCATCATAAAGATAAAAACTCGGCTCCTGCACAATTTAACGACATTTTGCCCGAAGTAATCCCGGTCCCAACCCAGCCTGAGGCGAGTCACGAAGTTCAGTCGGAAGTGATGTCATGCTGGACAAGAATCAGAGTCCGAATACATTTTTTCACATTCGGACTCGAGTCCGAATAGTCACTTCGAGTCACGAGTGAGGCAGGACAGGAAGACGGAGTCACGAGTCACAGGAAGTCGGCAGTGATGTCATGCTGGACAAGAATCAGAGTCCGATTAACGTTTTTTCATATTCCGACTCGAGTCCACTTCGAAAGCCAAAACCCATCATGACCATGACAACACAAACTGAAACTGAAGTTGTAGTAGTGTAGTTGAGACAGTTTTCTGATTGGCCACGTCTATTCTCACCCGGGGTGAGAATAGTGCAGGCGAGTCTTTTGGCTATTCTCACCCGGTGCGCGTTCACCGTTATATAGCCTAGATCTAGGCCAACAAATTTTGCGTTCACCCTAAACCACAGAATTCTACACTGTGATAACAAAAAATGTAGAATTCTGTGCCGTGAACAAACGTTCCATTACAACTGTAGCCTACTAAAAGCGTACAATTTTGTCTGTGGGCAGTGGAGAGAGAGAAAGAGAGAGAGAGAGAGGAGTAGCGTGAGAACTTCCGGTCAAAACAAAATGGCGACCCGCGTAGTTCGGCTCGATTCGAACAGTGAAATAGCCATAGGCATCTTTGAAGACGATCAAATTAGCTTACTTTTGTGCTATAACGTAATTTTTTCTTGGCTTTTATCAATTTGATCATCCACACCGATAGACAGTATTCCAAAATGAGGAAAAGCAGGTCTTGTTTCGCACCGGGTGAGAATAGCCTACGCTGGCAAGTCTCACCCGGGGTGAGAGGTAGATCGTTTTTCTATTCTCACCCCGGATGAGAATAGCCACTTCCTTTCTGATTTGCAAGATCTAGATCTATAATCTATAATTTCTTTGATGACTTGGCAAACCTTTCAACTTTCCTCGAACATACACTTATAATAACAGTTTGTGCAGGATGAGGAGCAGAGTAGTTCAGTACTAGGCCCTCTATGCCCTTACTTGCCCATTACCTAAGTGATGGACAATGCTGTAGGACGCCGCCATCTTTTACATAACATTAGGAACGAGGAGAAGGGCTTTTTTCATTCAGATATATTTTCGATATCTAGATTCTTTGGCTTTGTCACTAATGGAACTAGCCTAAAATTAGGTAGAACACATGTTTAAAGAAATAATTACAGCGTATAATTATTTTGTCTTCAAACCTTTACGGGCTAACGGGTTAATTTAGCCAATGGTTGAAAATCAGCCATTTCCTCTGTAGAAAAGTACGAAGAGTTGACAGCTGACCGGTGACAACTCTATCCAGGCTAACAATTGTTTGATGTGCCTGTACAATCTATAAATGACTGTGAGTTTTGAGTGTTTAAAAAAGTGTCTTTTAGTTCTTTCGAATGCTTATTTATTTCCTTCATATTTGCCCAAAGTTCAAAGAAACCAATGTCAGGAATTGTGTGCTGTCACTGAGTAAGAGTAGAGGGTCACTGACAAGTAAAAACTACACTACAAACAATAATGCATAAACATTGTCATTTGTGATTGCTTTCTACAGACGCGTTTGAATCTAGAGATTGCTCTTTATCGTCTAGCAAAAAGGAAAGGATTAAATAATTGATTTGATGATGTCCTGAAAAATATCTAGAATCTAGGTTTTAGATCTAAAGGCATTTCAAAGGAAGTTATTGTGCATTGCCCCAGTTAGCCAGATTTGAAATTATTTTCTCAAACTGAAATTAGGCTAATATTTTAGTTGACTCAACACTCACTGTTAGTGTTAGATCTCTAGAATAAAAAAATGCAACTTTTAATAAATAATATAAGTTTAGTGGAGGGCTTATTCTCAGTTTATTACATTGCATGTCTTGGGCTGTAATGAAGTGTTTAAATTGTCTGTCTGCTGGTGTAGCAGTAGCATGACAATGGTTCCATATGGCGGTGCTGGGTATAGCAGAGCTATAGCGTTAGGAGTAGGAAGATGGGAAGAGAAGAAGAGAGATGTTTCCTCATGATCCACCTTATTGGTATGACATTTGAAGTGTTCAGAGCCGTTGCATTTTAGTAAACAGTTGGCTACTTTGTTAAAAGTAGTTGTTTGATGTTTTTATTCAGAGAGACATTTTCTTTTTCTAGATCTAATCTAGATCTAGTCTAGATCTCAGATCTACCGGGATACAAACCGAAAGAATCACATCTCGGATTTCTCTGTCTTTTATTAATTTTCTACTGCTCCCATAAATTAGCAATAAATTTTGTAAGCAGTTATAAAATTGTTGAATGTCTGTTACATAATAACGCATTGAGTGCCTGAGTGTAATCAAACACCAATAGAGGTGCGATGGAGGAAAGGAAACTGAGTCAAATTATATGCCCCACCAGTCATTTCTTTCGTTCGTTTTTCCCGACTAGATATTTATTATGTGTACAGTAATTGAATACCCAATATATAATTTAAATGCCGCAAGCAAATTTTTCTTGTGAAGAGAAATAGAGTATTATAAATGCGTATAAATTATCTTCTAATCAGGGATGGGGATTCTCCGAAAATTTTCGGAATTTTACAAATTGCCGACGATTGTACTGTTGCAAAGGTCGTAACATAACTCAGCCAAAAAAGTGTCCGCCGGAAGTCCGCTAATTGCTTCAGATGGCGCTGCAGTCTGTTTTGAAGCTCTCTTTCGTTTCTCCAAGAAGAAGAGGAATAGCACCTCCTTACGTGCGCAGATTTACTGCTGTTCATCAGCTGTTCAGGTTCGTCAGTGCGTAGTTTTAGTTTTTTTTTATTTTAATGACCTCTCGCCTCTCATTCTAAAGTGCAATTAAACAAAGAAAACAGTCGCCTCCTCCTCTGGAAGAGGTTTTTTGTCAGCGTAACCATTTTAAAAAAGCGTTCTTCAGAAATTTGAATTTTTATTTTTTTCAAAAACTTGTTAGTTTCACTTTGATTTTTTTTCACACAAGTAGGGTAACTCTGTTCGCAAAGGGTGCGCATTTGCGAAGAGGCCGCCGCCGAATTTTGAGGAAACTTTTTTATTTGGCTCAAATAGAGGAGTGGCTCTTGCATTGTGGATTTGAACAATTTCTTTCTATCGGAAAGTGGGTGTGGACGAACTATTGCTGCACTGCATTTGAAAGAGTTACATACACTACCATTTAATTTCTCCTCCTACTTGAACATGCATGAGAACATGAACATGCAAGGAAAAGAATTACTGCTTGACCATCAAACATTGTTCTGACCTGTAGAAGCATTCATTGTAATGTAAGTACAGTCGAACCTGCCCTGACGGCCACCTCTATAAGACGACCACCTGTACAAACGGCCACTTTCCATTTCCCCCCTTGCGTTTTTTCTATATAATTTAACTGTAAAACGGGCACCTGTCCAATGCGGCCGCGGCCACCTTATTTCAACACACAACCCCTATCACACTAAGCAATAACGCCCGTCTAAGACGGCCACCTTAGTGACTCCATTTCGTTTAGTCATAAATTGTGCTTTGGCCCCTGGCGTTGTGGGCAAGCCGTCATAGTTCAATCCCCTGTCGCTGTTGTTAGGTAGTCCCTCCAACCGATCATGTTGCGTAGGCCCCTCCTACTGTTGACCAATAGCTACCAATTTTCAGCTGCTGGTGAGGTAAGAATGTGATCCCTCATAACCCATAAGCCCCGCCCAGAACTTAAACACAAATCGTAAGCGAGATGAGTGGTCACTGTTTACCCAGTCTGTAACAAAGTAACAAAGGACGTCAATGGTCGTCAACATGAACTTGTGACAGAAACGTCGCTCGTTCTCCGAGTGGTGGCGACACAGGAGTTTGTTTTTACTTCGCACTCGGTCTTCCTTGTCTGATACATTTCGTTTTATTGTCACCCTTTTGCGAAATCAGCAACAAAATAAAAATTACAAACAAAATACAAACCACCACCACCAACAACAACAAAAACAACAATGCGGCTACTTTCGATTGGGACCTCTGATAGGAATAATTCGTTTTCTTCTTCTTGATCAGTCCTGCCTAAGACGGCCACCTGTCTTATACGGCCACTTTTCTCCTTGACAATGGGTGGCCGTCTTACACAGGTTTGACTGTATTTAGATGAATGTAGGCTTCTACAGAACTATATTTTTTAAATTTTATCAATTATGTTTGTTACCTAGTGAAATAACACCTTATTCTAATTTTTTTTTAAATTCAAAGCACTCTCAGAGCAGACTACATTCTTTAAAAATGTAAATTTCTTCCCGGCTTCAGGGGCTGCGCTCCCCCTGACTGACCCCCTTCAGAAATTTTTGGGGGTATTAATCCACATCCCTGTTCTAATTCTGTGAGCTGAAACCAGTGTTGTTACATTGCTATAAAAATTTGATAACTCAAGTAAAGTATTTCTGTGTAAAACGCGATTTGTTCAGTTCTATAACTTGGTCAAAAGTCAACATCTTGCTCTTGTCAAGTGTGTACAGTCAAACCTGTGTAAAACGACCACCCTTTGTCAAGGAGAAAAGTGGCCGTCTTAGGCAGGACTGATCAAAATGAAGAATGTAAATCATTCTCTTCTGAGGTCCAAACCAGGGCTGATCTCAGGATTAGGACTGCCGTAAAGCGAATTCAAAAAGGGGTTTTGTTTTCTTTTTTTTTTTAAAAGGGGGGGGGGGAGTGTAAGAAGGTTTTTTTGTGTTGTTGGTTAGCTTTCTTTTTGTTGCTGATTTTGTGCAAGGGTAAAATACACGAAATATTATTTGTAAGTCTATGAAGGCCGAGTACCATGGTAAAACAAACACACGGGTCGCCACCCCTCGGAGAACGAGCAACGTGTCTGTGCAAGTTCACGTCAACGTCCATTGTTACTTTGTTACAGATTAGGTAAACAAAACAGTGACCAATCACCTCACACACGATTTGTGCATGAGTTGTGGGCGGGCTCATAGGTTATGACGGATTACGCTTCCCTTGCCAGCAACTGAAAATTTGTTGTTAGGCCTACTCATTGGTAAACATTCATTGGAGAGACTAACAATAACGACAGGTGAATGAATTATGACAGCCCGTCTGCAGCGTGAAGGGCCGATTCAAAATTTATGACAAAGCATCAGGCAATGAGTGACCACGCCTGGTCGCCTGAGGCATGTAAATTTGATGGTGGCCCCGGCCATGTTTGACAGGTGATGGTTTTACACTGTAAATTATATAGAGTTTTAAGGCAAGGGGGGGGGGGGGGGAGTGGAAAGTGGTAGTTTATACAGGTGGCCGTCATGGCAGCTTCGACTGTATGTTATTTCTTGTTGGAATTTCAAGTGAGTTTGGTTACTTTTTTCTGTTTTGTTAAAAGTGTGGTTTGTGCACTAAGTCAATATGAAGTCTTAAAACGAAGGGGGAGTAGTGGGAAGGGGGCATATTTATGTTAAAAGCCTTCGTTCTATATTTTAATGATGATACACAATTAATCAATTTTTGTAGCGCCGGCCAACTTCCGGATTGGGCTCAAGGCACTTTAGCGTGACACATAATACAATGAAATTATCATTCAAACGTCATTCAAGGGATATTTGAGCTTAATAATTTATTCGTATCAACTGATATATATATATATATATATATATGTTGATAGTTGATAACACAAGCATGCAGTCTCAAACACATACACTTATAAAACCCACTCATTCGCAGTACAGCTTAGTCTCCACCTAAAATCACGGTGCTTCAGAGCAAGGCGAAATCTTAGGTATTTTGAGATCTTAGCCTATGCGCCAAGTGGGGAATCCCTGTGGTGACTTACGTTCAGGCCCACAAAAAGTGCTTCCCTATAAACTCTGAAATGTACCTTGACATGACCCGTTGGGTGAGACTTAAGATGAGCAAAGAGTGATCAACCTTGATGACCAATCACAATGGCTTGACGCATGATATTTTTACTTACCCAATCGTTGGTCTCAAGATCTATGCTGGTTCTATTTGCTCCTCCCCTTTATCTGTTCCAAATTTATAGCTCTCTTGCTTTAACTGAGTTCCCTCGCGTTTGTAACGTGTACGGCGACTGATGCTATAGTCAGTTAAACAAAACCACCGAAAAGTTCACAGTTCAATGTGAACCCTACCCACCCAGCTTGTGATGTAAGTTCAGATGGTGAGCTCAGATGCATCATGTGATGTTGGGGAAAACAAACAGGCCGACAATCTTACACCTTGGTGTGATCCCATCTAGGGCAAACATTAATGTTTCATTGAGATTTACAATGGATATATGATCACATTCACAAGAGTGGCTAATCTGTGATATAACAGGCAGTTCAATGATGACAAATTTTCACTGCTCAGTTGATCAGCTATGCTTGCCTGAGTTTTTGTTCCGAAAAATATGTTTTCAAATAAGGGGATCTTGTCTTAATTGAATGTAGTCCTTCAGAGCGGGATCTCGAGGGTGACTTTCATGTAATAAAAATAAAGTTTTCTTAAAAAAACAATGGGATCCTATACGAACTGGGATCTCAGATGGACTAAAAAGTACTGTATTTTAAGAGAATGAAGATTTCGTTTAAATTATTTTTTTTTTATGTTAAATGAATTTTCATTTCATCGGTAACAATGTGAAGCAGTAGACAGTGAAAAATTGTATTAAATGAATTAATTGTTTTTATTTAAAACTCTCCTAGGTTTAGATTTAGGTTTGGAATTGTCTGTATTATATAAAATAAATTTTATGCTACGAAAAGGTATTTTTCTATCCCATAAATGTTCTGTTTTTTAGGTTGTGGTCAGGTACTGTTGTTAGAGAACCGACATGTTCCTGTCTTTTTTCAGTTTTATTGGCTAATAAAAATGTTCCAATGCATGTTTGCCTGATCATGAGTCAAAAGTCGAAAAATCATCTGAGGTCAGCTTCTGATTCTGATTGAATTAGCACTTTTCTTTTTCAGTTCAAATTTAAGGTCAAATGTATTGTGTTATTGCTCAAAGTAGGGACTATTTGATAGCAATTCTAGGTGGGTACAAATTTTTCAAAATATATTTAAGCAGAAAGTGAACCTGCTGCGTGTAATCTAGCAGTTCCACTTGCAATATGTTTAGAAATAAAGGTTATAGTTTTGATCTTAAAGGTAGGCCAGGGTTCAATCACTCTTTACTCCTTTTTCCTTTTGCTTGCCCAGATAGTTTCATTTGACTTTAATAAGAAAGTGTTAGAATTAGTTCACAAACACGGAAAAGGAGTGCAGGGTATCTTCTTATTTAGTGTTTACAGCCATGTAAGTTTATCTTTTCGGAGGTTTATTCCATTGATCTTCTCTTGCCAAATTAAGATTGTTTGTTGTTTCTTGTTTGACATACATAATATAATATCAAAGACCTATAAACTGTAGTGTAAAGCAGCAATCATTGCATTGTATTTCAATGCCATCTGCTTTTTCTAGCTTGTATTGGCTTTTAGGGACCTATTTATTATGAATGTGAAATTATTATGGTCAATAGGACAATGACACTACCATCTGTTGTGACAGAAGAGTACCTACTAATTATTGTAACTTGTGTTCAGAATTAATATTCTTTCTTATGCAGCTCAAACTGTACATTCAACATACTTTCTAGAGATTTTGCAACCTTGAGACTGACTTATATATATTTGAGATTCTCATTCTCATCCCTTTTCCATGGTAAAGCCAAACAATGAACATTTTCACTATTGTGCTGCCATTTGGATTGATGCAATAGTGTTCTTTCTTATGATGTAAGGGTAGTTTTTTTTCTCATTCGTATCAGTATCATGCAGCTTAGATGCTTGAGATGTGTGTCTCTATCTTGGTCTTTTATTCCTTCTGCACATCTCTTCAGTCATTCCGTAATGTTCACAGTTTCTGTCTACTTTGCTTTTACACTGGATGCTGTATTCGATATATTTATAAATGCCTTGCTATTCTCTGCCAAAGTTTACATTTCAATTTCTATCCTGGCTCAGAGTTTTGCAACGTAGAGACTGACTTACGTTTTGCTCAACACTCTCTTCCCTTTGCCATGGTAAAGGATCAGATATGCAATAGTGCTCACTCTCTCTCTCTCTCTCTGTTTGTTTGTCGAGGCTCTCTCCTGTTCTCCTTTTTTCCTCGCTTGGTTCTCTTTCCTCATTCATAATTCTGTTTTTTCTAGAGTCGGATTCATTTTTTAAACCTTCTGATATTCATAATTCATGAGATTAAATGAGCTCCTTTTTTAAAAATTGAATAAAATTATTTTAAAGCAATTTTGATCCGTTGATACAAAAATACTCTGAAAATTATGTCATGTACAGAAACTAGAAACACTCCTTTACAGTTCTTTCTGATACTAATCTGAGACCACAAATTTTATAACACAGATTTATATGAGAACTTTATTAGGTTAGTCAGCTTAACACAAGCCATAGGGATGAATACTTTTGACTGCAAGGGAACAGCTGCCAATGTATTGGATCTTAACTCCTCGACCAAGCTAGTCAGCTTTTTTGGGGGGTCTATTTTGTATTCAAATGTTTAAAGAGAGTGAAAGAAACATGATAAATCAATGTGTATTATTTAATCCTTTGGAAAAAAAAGTACACACACATTTTCCTACTTTACAATCAGGACTCTTATACTTATGAATGTGTATTTTGTGTTCCCGTTTTTCTTTCTTTTTTATTGTTGCAATGAAGCATTGAATTATTAGCATCCCTTTCTCTGTATTAAAGGGTGATCAGTCAGTCAGTTTTGCTCCTGGTTGATAGATTCATAGTTTTACTTGATCAGGGTTGTTTTTATTTGTGAAACTGCATTCAAATTAATATAGTTTTTCTTCAAGTTCGCAATGTGATGATGGCTATGCAGTACTTTTATTATAATAAAAGTGTTTATTTGAGGTTGCAGCTACTTATCTGAGGTAAATGTTTTTGGTTGTTGTTTTTTTTAAAGTTATTGTCTCACTTTCTGTGGCCACTCAGGCTCAACATTGACAGACTTTGCTCATCATCATTAGTAAGTTGACTTTGTTTTATAATGTGTCCTGTACGTTTCTTGTATTTCGTGTCTTATTTTATATCAGAGTTCCTGGAATGAAAATTTACTTATCTGCTGTTTCTTCTCTTTGTAGATCTGTATGCAACAATGCCAAAAGACAAATATGAGCCTCCTAGTGACAAGAGACAGCACCGGATTATGCAAAGAAGTGAGGTAGCAGAGGGAAAACAGTCCAGATGGAGCGAGTTGGAAATATTTGGTACGTCTTTCATAGTAATCAATCTGGAATACTTTTTCGTGTGTGCTGACATTCATCCTTGTATGAGTGTACAATGATAAATAAATGATTGTCATGATCAAAAGTTCTTATGTAGTTATGGGTACAGGTTCACATATTTTATATGGCTTTTGTTTTCATGTAAAGGCAAAAGTTTCAGAGACCCCACATTTTCCACCCACTAAAACTAAAACACTATTTCTTATGACACTATCATCTTTGTCTCCTACATATGATGCTCTCTGTCTCCTGGTTAAAAGTAAAAAGGGTATGTCTCCTTCATAAAACATTTATGTTTCCCACTGGAGATACTCTCGGGGAGGCTCTCATGGTCTAGAGGTAAAAGGTCTTCGCTTCTCATTCAATAGGTCCGGGGTTCGAATCAGGATAACGATGGAAAATTTTCTTCTCCAAATATTTTCTCCTTTCACATCCTTTCCTGCTCTCTATATCTAACAATGTGCTGTTGTCTGCTTTCGTCTCCACTTTCTGCCTCCACCCCCACCTCCTTTGCCCCCCATCCCTCACATCCTTTGCCCCCTCCTCTGGGCTCCTGACTCTTTCTTCAGCCTTTCTTCTGCTACTCCTTGGCTCCTTACTGCTGTATTTCAGCCACACCCCTGATCTTCTGGTAGGAAAGATCTACACCCTTCTTGGACAAGGACGAAAAATCTTGAAGGTCCAGTGTGCAAGTTGCGCACGTTAAAGACCCCTTGGTGGTCCAAATCGATATGAGTAGGCTTCGACCGCCACCCGAGCAACATTCAAAATTTCCTACCAACTGAAAATGTTTAATTTCATATGCGTGCTCATATGACCTTATGCAGTTGCGAGCCCCGTTAAACACTTACCAAAAAGAAAACAAAACTATGTTTCCTTCACATGACACACATGTCTTCAGCATACGGTGCTATGTTTCTACGTGAGGAAGTATATCTTTCACATAAAAGGTACATCATGTACTATATTTCCACACATGACTCACCATGTAATGTCTTCCAAAGAAGACACTATGGCTCCCACAAGAGGCACAGTGTGATGTCTCTTAAAAAGCAAGATAATCCATGTCTCCCACAAAGTATAAAAGACACTTATCTTCGACATACATGACACTATGTCTCCCTCACATAATTATCCTTTGACATTTTTAGAGCACATCCTACTTGGAGCTGTGCGATGGAATTTTTACAGTACCATGTTATTGTTTCAGTGGAAAGTGTGTATGTGTGTGTGTGCGTATTGACAGACGATCTTAAAGCCTTATAAGCATGATACAGCTTTGCTTGGGCAGTAAACTAAGAGCCTGAAGTAGATTGACTAAGTACTACTCCCCTTCCTTCAGATCTTGACTTCCTTGATATGCTCCAAAGGAGAGACATGGTCAGCACGTTTGGAATCAAAGAAGTTGTAAGGGTGTGCCTTACTATTTTATAGGTGGGATAGGGGTTTGTTTTTTTCTGTAGGGAATTTTTTTTTCATTGCCTGGGTGGCAGCCAAAGAGCTTACTCTACTACAATTTTAAATCACCAAGGTGTATTTATGTGTGTGTTTTATGTGTGTGTGGAGACCATGCAGTTGCATGTGCTCTTGTCCTACTTTTTTTTTCTCCGTATTTTCATTTTGGAACTGCATGATCTTTCTAGTTACACTCTATACTCTAGGACAGAACAATTTAATGGACTGCTCTTTGCGTGAGTTATAATTCAAATTTTTTAATCGCTGTTAAAAACAGATTCTTAATAAATTTAATCTGTTTTGTTATGCTACTTTTGCTTAAACATGTACTCTTTATTTCCCCGACCAAGACCATGCCACCTTGGGCCATATGCTGGTCTTGGAGATATTTCGATTTATATATGGCCAGACAATATTCTCGTAAATAAAATGTATTTTCATAGAATATTAGTTTTATCTTGATAAGTTGAAATAATTTTGTGACAAAATGCCATCCTTTGTTGACATGGTTGTCATTCACAGTTTGAAACTTTTGGATTTTCACCTCCACATCCTCTTTAATTTCTAACAGTTTACAGGTCCGCTCCTGTCCCTAGATTTAGCTTGTTGGCAAATCCCAGTACTGATTCTTTGCCCATTAGGAGTTTAATGTTTTCTCTGGTCACATTTTCAATTTTCCATACTTTGTTTGAAATCTCTTTCATCTGAATGGTTAGTTTCACTCTAAGAACCCAGTCTTATTTTATGAAAAATTTCTTTAGATGTGCTTTTTTTTTTCAAGTTAGTTTTGGCCCTGAAAGTAAGCAAACTTTTAGTAAAATCAATATTCCGCTTGAGGTACAATAGGCATTGTAGCTGCATTTCTGTGTGTTATCAATCGCGAGTTGAGCTAAGTGATTTACACAACAATGTTGGTAACAATGATGAGTTAGAGCTGATTGAATGATAATAGGTTGGTTTTTTATTATTTTTATTTCATTATTTTGCACCGTAGACAGTGCAGGGAGCCATTCATCTTTTGTGAGACCTGCCCTGCACTGCCTCTTGTGCCTCAGTGAAAAGGGTGAACAGTTTTGCTGATAAACTTTAGTATTGTGGCGTCGATAGCCTCGTGGTTAGGCTACCGGACTCGTAATTGTGAGGTTGCGGGTTCGGGGGTTTGAGCCACGGGCCCAATGTGTGTCCTTGAGAAAGGCACTTTACACGAAGTTTCCTCACTTCACCCAGGTGGGAATGGGTAACATAGACGATGAAAGATTTTGTCAGTATGTTAGTCTTTTAGTGCCTATAAATGGCTGCTTGCACTGTATACTTCCCAAGAAGTTGAGTTTGTTTCAGAATGCTCTCAGGTCTGCTGGAGTAATAGTATAGATTGTGAAGCGCATAGAGCTTGCTGTTGAGTGGGGATTTGCGCTATACAAATGCTGTCTATTATTATTATTATTGCATATGACAAAATTTGTTCTCCATGATAAGCACAAGAAATGCTATTCAGTTTGGAAGAATTAAATGTAACTTTTTTTTTCTGTTAGTCATCTCAAATACATATTAGATGGTCTCGTCTGAAGGTAAGGGTTTGTCATGGGATGCAATCAAGTAGGTCAAGTTGTTTCTTTGTGGCATTCATAGTTTATCCACTCTTCTTCCCCCACCCTGTGTCATCTCCATGACTTCATGTATCTCTTTGGTCAATGCAGGTTGGTCAGAGTCAGTATTCTATATCTTTTATCTGTTTATTTTTATAAAGATTTTAAAAAATTGTGAATGCTGAGAGGACACCACTAGTAGGTCTTACTTCTTTTCTTCCATATTGTTTCTCCTTACTTTTTGTTTGCACTAAATGACCATTGCTGTGCTGATGTTTTTCTTTACTCAAACAACTTTGCTTCACTCTATTTCCAGGATATGTTCAGAACTTAAGCTTGCAGCTGTGGAAGGTAGAATGGCTGACTGTTCTCTACCTCGACAACAATCACCTGTCTCATTTGCCGGCTCAAATAAGCCACCTTGTGAATTTGATACATCTTGATGCCTCCCATAATTTCATCATCACTCTACCCCCTGACATAGGAGACTTGGTTCGTCTCCGAGAGCTCAGGTTAGGCTCAAATCGCATTCGGGAGTTGCCATATGAACTGGGGAAATGCTTTCAGCTGGAAGTGCTTGGTAAGTGTTTGTAGTTTTCTAGATTAGATGGATGACAAATTGTAGTTCTCATGATACAGTGGTTAGAGCTACCGTTGGCGTCCTTTTCTTCTTTGCGTTCCCCTGCTAGGTCTCAGGGCTGGCTCTTCAATCTGCAGTGTAACTGAATTGTACGTGTATGTGACCATTTTTCCCTTTAAGGCCCCTTGCCTTCAGGCAGCCACATTCTGTTTTCGAAGGTACTCTATATCTTTTTTTACTGACTAGAGTATTTTCAGTGTTGGTAGGAATTCATTTTGAATTTTACCCGGGTGGTGACCGAAACCTGCTCTCATCAATTTTGGATCCTCCAAAGGATCTTTAACTTGCGCAACTTGCACAGGCGACCTCCAAGATTTTTCATCTTTATCCAAGAGAAGGCTAGGTGTTCAGTCTTACCTACCCTTAGATCAGGGGTGTGACTGACAGACAACAGTAAAAAGGAACTAGGAGTAGCAGTAGAAAGAGTCCAGGGTAAAGGATAAAGGAGCTCATAGGAGGGAGGCGGGAAGTGGAGATGACAGCAGATGACAGAACATGACAAGAGAATAGGAAAGGAAGTGAAAATCTCAGACAAGAAAGTGTCGTTGTCAGGTTTCGAACCCCGGACCTATGGAATAAGAGGCAAACACCGCATCTGTAAACCATGAGAGCCCCCTTCAGTTAGCATGATTTTAGAATTCTTTTATTGAATAATTTCTTTATGATTCCGTTTTTTTAGGTAGCTAGTCGTTAAATATTCAGATAAAGTTTGCTCCATCTTCTTTTGTAAAATTTTCTGCTTTCACCTTTTTTCCTGCTCTCTAACCATATTGTCATCTGCTTTCATCTCCACTTTCTGCCTCCACCCCCTCACCTCATTTGCCTCCTCCTCTGGGCTCCTGACTCTTTCTGCAGCCTTTTTTTCTGCTACTCCCTTGGCTCCTTTTTACTGCTGTCTTTCAACCTACCCCTCATCTTATAGTAGGCAAGATCTAACACCTAGCCTTCTCGGATAAGGTTGAAAAATCTTGGACGTTCCATATGCAAGTTGGGCACATTAAAGATCCTTTGGTGGTCCAAAATCAATAAGAGTAGGCTTCAGCAGCCACCTGGGCAAAATTCAAAATTCAAAATTTCATACCAACTGAAAATGTTTATTGTGTCCCACGGGCTCGTATGACCTAATGCAGTCTCGAGCGGAGCAAAACACTTACCAAAAGAAAGGAAAAACACATTAATGGAATATAGGAAAGAACGTCTCCTTAACAGTATTAAATTAAAGTAATGAAATTGTTTATTATGTTCTTGTTATTACTTTCCCAGATCTATCGAACAATCCACTGAATTATGATCTGAACAAGTGCTATACAGAAAGTGCCTCAAAGCTCTTGATGACCCTGATGGACAATATCCAATGTGAGTATATAAACATTTCATTGTTCTTCTCGGGAGAGGGCTCAGTAGTTCGCCTGCCAACCTGGAGTTCGATCCCCACAGGCACTGGGTTACTTTTTTTTTCCCTCATGTTTTCTATACCCCATGATTCTTGGGTAGGTAAGATTGAGCACCTAGTGGTTTCGGAAAAGGAACAATAATTTCGGTGGTCCTGTTTGAAAATTGTGTATGTTAAAAGGTCCTTTGGTGGTTTTTGAAAAGAGTAGGCAACCTGGGTCACCGTCAGGGCAGAATTCAGAATTCATTCCTAACCAAAAACTGAAGCCACCCAGGTCGGGATAAATATTACGAGTACCTTTGAAAATGGTTCTTGTCTGCCTGTCAGGCAAGGGATGTTTCTACATTCTATGTGTAGATAAAATAGCCATGCCAATGCAACGTAAAAATCATCTGCACTGTGACATGAAGATCTTAGTCAGTGACTTCCTGAGCACCATCAGGGGGTATAAAAACAAGAAGATTGTTCTTTGACAGATCTTTTATTTTGTATTTATTCCACAAACTGGTAATTCTTTCCTTATTGCTGTCCCCATTCTGCTTTTGTCCTTGTTATATCCTTTTTATTGTGGTATTGGGTCATATTGATTTGTCAAAATTTCCTTCTTGTTTTTTCGAGTATCCCACCAAAGCTCTTTATAACACACCATGTATATTTGTGACTCGTAAGATATCATTTTGCACATCTTAGGCATGTGCAGGAGGCCGAAACAATTGGTTTCCTAAACATTTAGCTCTTGCTTTTTACCTCCTGTACTTCAGACTATTTTGATTCTGAAAATAAAAAGAACTGTTTTTCAGGATATATAATGAACCCTCTTTTTTTTTAAAATGTCATGAGAAACGTTTAAGAACTAGCAGTGCACAGTGGTTACTCTGAGCTACAGTGTTATATGTTGCATTGAGGCCATTGATTATTCTTTTAAAATTCCTCTGAAGACTGTTTTCATCATATATACTGATCTTTTTTGGAATTCATTTAGTATTAAAGACTTTCTTTATGATTCTCAATCATTCTTGTTTTATGGGTATGATTGTATTGTTTTATTTAGAAGGTTGTCTATGAGTTGTGTTTTACTCTTTGAACTCTATAAAAAGTCAAATGGTCACCTTGATTTTTGTCAAAATTGTAAAACTTGATGTAAGGTTCAAGAAGCGGAGGTAAAAAAAAAATCCCCATTGTCGCCAATCGAGGTAAAAAATCGCATTTCGCATTTTAGCGTCCTCACGGAGAGTAACCGCTGGAGTAAATTCTTTCCAGATTATAATGTGATTATTTCCCTTGCAGCAAAATTGCACGAGGCTCCCGTACGGGGAACCGAGTCTGAATTGAATCGAAACAATCTTTGTTTTGTAGAACACGACTGAATTCTTACCCAGGTTGAGTAGGGAGCTCTCGGGTGTATTCGAGTTTTGTTTTAAAAGGGTATTAATATTGTCTGTTTGGTTTTGACAGGTGTTCAAAATAAATTCCAGTGCGTTTACTTTTTTTTGGAGGGAACGGAAGGTGTGGATGCTTTCTTTTATGTACTCTAGTTATAACTCTGGTTATATGGTTCTTTAAGATAGACAAAGTGTCCGGGGGGGGGGTCCTCATTTTTTTTTTTCACATTATTCAAAGGAATTATTTCATGTTTGTATGGAAAGAGCTGAAGAATAGAATATTATTGGAGCTATAAACATGAATCACTCTATATGGTGGTCTTCTTGGGGTGCAGCGTGGGTTTAGTCTGGGAAGTCTCTCTGAGAATTTCTGAATAAAAATGGCAGCTGGAAAAACAGGTAATAATCATGCCTGCTAAATAGTCAAACAAATTATGGAGAAATAGTCTAAACGTTTAATTCGTATCGGGGTTTGTAGTGTGCCTGTGGTTACTACTGTGTAGTAACCTATAATTTTAAAAATAATGTCAGAGAAAATTAGGCCATAGAATTATTTTAAGCTCTTCATAAATGCTGTGTTATTCTGAATAAGAGTGCAAGATTTTTAGATTAACTTCTCTAACACAAATGTCAGTTTTTGTTGGCTGTGGTTCATACTTAGATTGACCTCATTATCCCTTACGTAAAAGATAAAGAGAGGTTGTGTGAGTGGGGGAATCTGAAAGCTCAGAATGTGATTTGAACCTTTCAGAAATTTGTCACAATTTGATTTTTTTGGGGTTTTAACTTAAAGAGTGGTAATGGTTGAACATTATTATATATTATGAATTAGTTTCTGGAAGTTTTATAGTAAAAGGGGAAACTTACACATCATGTACTCATAACTCATTCCCGACCATGAGCCGCATTTCGTGGCTCCACAGATTAGTTCATTGCGAAAACAGTCCCATCTTCCGACTTGCACAAACCCTTGTTTTATGCTCAGATTACTTATTTCTTTAACAGCAAATACATTTCTTTTCATTTTTATACGATAAACGTTTGAGTTTTTTCTGAAAAGAATCAAGTCAGAAATAAGATTATATCAGAAAAAATTGCTTGGTCCCTGTGAGAAAATTGTTTTCGTAGGGGAAAATTAAAGATAGTAACAATGAGCTTCAAGATGTGTGCTTAATTTGTTTCCTTTTAAGATTTGTTCTGTAGAACTTACAGTTTGCAAAAGATACTTTTTTCTGTATTTCTGATCAGTTGGGGAGATAGTAAGTTTAAGATGAACTGAACTTTCAATAAAATTAAAACCAGGTGCACCCAGGTGTGTCACATCAAAGGGGCCAGGTTGTGAGGGGAAAAGGTCAAGGATTAGCTGATTTATTGGTTCTTTGCCTTCTGACTTGAATTTTGTTCCAGGCTTGAAGATTGTTTTTTGGTGATATAATCATTTTCTAGGACATGGAAATATGCAAATCATCATTCCTTTTTTTTTCAAAACTTTTAAAAAGTCTTTGAGTGGCCATCATATTCCACAAAAAAAAAGGAGGTCACATCAGGACAATCGCGGCGGCAGTTTGTTTTTTGTTGCTCCACCTTGGCTCTCCAAGGCAGAGAATACCGAGGATGATGCCAGCTGTCTGCAGATTAAGAATTAATTCTTCCTGGAAGGAGGTCGGGCGTGTGACACGACTATTGAGTTGAGGTACGTATGCTGTTGTGTAACCTACTTTTTTTTTTCCTTTCCATTTTGATATTGTTTGTGAAAATGGTGTGTACGAGTCTCTGACCTGTGTGTGTGTGTGTGTGTGTGTGTGTGTGTG